TAAATTCTGAGCCGGGTAGTTCAAGTTAAAGGGGAATATTCATGTAGCACTGTAGGGGTTTGGGGGAGAGCATAGATGAATTGAGGTCAAAGCAATTTCACCAAAATATTCTTACACACATAGTTGCCTTTATTCAAATACAATTAAACATTGAAAAATAAATGAAAGCAAAACATATATGCAAATATTCAAGTAAAATATTTAATTAAAAACACATAGTGGGCAGGTGGCAGAGGAAGAGTACATTCAGAAGGTTAGGCAAAAGCTGATGATTAAAGAGGGTATTAATAGCCCATGGCTTAGTGGTTAGGGTGCTGGCCACATGTACCGTGGTAAGTTTGAACCCAGCCCAAGTCTACTAAACAACAATGACAAATAAAATAAAATAAAATAGCCAGGCATTGTAGCAGGTGCCTGTAGTCCCAGCTATTTGGAAGGCTGAGGCAAGAGAATCACTTAAGCCCAGGAGTTGATGTTGCTGTGAGCTGTGATGCCATAGTACTCTACCGAGGGCAACACAGTGAGACACTGTCTCAAAATAAATAAAATGAAATAAAGAGGGTATTAGCTACACAACAAGAGATTAAATGACAGACAACAAGACATATAAATATGCTTTTAAAACTAAGGATAAAGACTACAACAAAAAGCTTGGTGTGGTGGTTCACACCTGTAATTTCAGAAATTTGGGAGGCCAATATGGGAGGATCACTTGAGGCCAGGAGTTCAAGACCAGCCTGGGCAACATAGCAAGCCCCATCTCTATAAAAAGTTAAGAAAAAAAAAAAAACAAACAAAAAACCATTAATCTGGCATGATGGCTCACACCATTAGTCCCAGCTACTCAGAAAGCTGAGGCAGGAGAATTATTGAGCCCAGGAGTTAAGGCTGCAGTGAGTTATGATCATGCCACTGCACTCCAGCCTGAGTAACAGTGGGAGACCTTGTCTCTGATAACAATAACTAATGTAGGACTTACCTTGCTGAAAATCAAGTGAGTAGAGGAGAAGACAAATTTAAGAAAACTTACACAAAATGCAGATTAAAGCAATTAGAAGTGGTTAGAACACACATCCAATATAGGGAGTCAGAAAGAATAATTTATACTTCATAAAATTAAAGCTTTGATTTTAAGATTTTAGAAGGACAAAGCAAGTTACCTAGAGAAGAAAGTAACCAAACAGGACTTGGATTTTTTTCTTAGCAACTTTAGGCAGCAGAAGTCAGTATAGTGACAACCAAATTTTCAGGCGTCAAGAGGATGTGATTCCAGAACAAAATTCTAATTTGGCTGTTTAGTCATAGTTGCAATAAGACACTTTAATATATGGAACAGCTCAGAATATACAGTATCATTATGGTTGTATAGATAAATTACCTCATAGCACAGCTGAAAGATAAATCAACTCATTGGTGAATTTAAAACAACAAAACTGCCGATGGGAAACATGCAGCCTGGTAGAAGCATGGGACTCATTTAAAAATAAAATAAAATATGATAGCAGAGTGAATTACTTTAAATCATGTCAACAAAAATAGGTATGCAAGTGAGAGCAAAAAGTAACCTAACTTTCTTTTCTCACCAAAACAAAACTGAATATCAGAAAAACTTGCATCATAAGTATAACAGGTTAATATCCAAGTAACCAAAAAGTTCTTAGAAATTCATAAGAAAGAAGCAATCAATCGAGGATTTAGAAAAACAAATCCAATCTAATGAATAAACAGAGAAATTCACTAGGTGGCAATTTTTATTAGATTAATTAGATGTTAAAATGATGGGCAAAATCCAGAGTACAATTGTAGTAGGGAGAACCGTTTCCTTTGCATGCAGTGTTGATGAAAGACTTATTTGGCACTGCCTTTTTGGAGGGAAGTTTAGCAACATATTCCAGCATGTCAAATACAAACCAATAATCATAATTTTAAGAACTTGTTGCAAAGTATGATTGAAGTTTGGGAAGGTTTTGATTAATTATTTCATTTTACTCTAGGTTCTTAACCAGTGGAGGACATTGAACCCCATTTGGGAATGTATATTCCTGATATACAGGGTGCCCCAAAGATCACCATTAGGAAATATTAGAAATTTTAGTGAAACGTACCTTTATTTACAGAATATCCATTACAAAACTTGATGAAATCGTTACAAAATATTCTCTATGTTAGCCAGGTCTTTGGTCATTGAGGAGTTTTCTGTTTATTTAATATAGGCCAACTTACCAGTCTTTTCTTTATGCTTTGTATTTTGTGTGTCGTGTTTAAGAAATTTTGGCTTACCTAAGTGTCAGTAATATATTTCTCTATTAAGAGTTTGTAATGTTTTCTATTGACCTTTAGTTGTTTAATCTACTTGTATTTTATTTTATTGTGTTTGGCGAGATAGAATTTTATTTTCCATATGAATAACCAGTTCTTCCCATACTATTTTTGAACAGTTCATACTCTTTGCTGATTTGAAATGCTGCCTCTGTCATCCCCAAAGCTGCCATACATACTGGGTCTGCTTCTGGGTTTTCTACGTGTCCTATTTGCTTTCTTATTTCATAACAATACCACAATTTTTGTTATTGTAGAAGTTTTCTTACTGAATTTCACTGAAAACTAAACAATGCCATATATTAAACATTGAAAAGTAAATCTTGTGAAATGATAAATGCCTGATTAGTAGAGTATACCCCACCACCACCAGGGTTTCCATTTATACACATATCTGCATATACCAGTTTAGTTGTACACTTAATAGAATTATCAAAATATATACCAACATGCAATATAAAAAAACTGATCATATTGACTTAAAAAATAACAAAAATACACAAATACACATGCATATATATACGTAATATATCATATCACTGGAAATCCATTGATAGCTTGGCTTCAAAGTTGGTTGAGTCAAGGCCTAAATTGTATCATCAAAAAATGAGACTTCGCCAGGCAGCGTGGCTCACACCTGTAATCCTAGCACTCTGGAAGGCCAAGGCAGGTGAATTGCTGGAGCTAAGGAGTTTAAGACCAGCCTGAGCAAGAGTTTCTACTAAAAATGGAAAAACTAGCCAGGCATAGTGGTGCATGCCTGTGGTCCCATCCCAGCTACTTGGGAGGCTCAGGCAAGAAGATTGCTCAAGCCGAAGAGTTTGAGGTTGCTGTGAGCTATGATGACACTAAGTCACTCTACCCAGGTGACAGAGTGAGACCATTGCCGCAAAAAGAGCAAGAAAGAAATGAGGCTTAATTTTAGAAATTATTTTTCTTACAGTTACAAGATGGCTGTCAGTAGCTGTCAAAGCTACTTACTCTTTTTTAGTTTTGTTCAACAGAAGAAAAGGAACATCTTCCTCTGTTACGAATTATTTAGAAAACTTTAAGAGAGCGCTCGCCATAGAACAATAATTATTACAGAGAAATTCCATTCACTGAATGGCTTTATAAGGCATGTGGGAGAGGCTTAGAATAATTGGAACTCACTTTGGGGTTTAAGGTCTATCTTGACGAGTTAGTTAAACACGTATCCCCAAACTTGTTTTGCTTAAGCCTGTTGTATTTATCACTCTGATTTTATCATTTATTCCACTATTATGGATAATAAAGACCTCCTTTTATGAAGATGGCAAGCATAAAGTTGTCATACTTCTCCCCTCTGAATTTACATAAAAGCAACAATGAAATAACATTCCATCTTTGTTAACAGCAGAATGTTGGAAGCCCAAACCACAAAATACAAAGATGATTGCCACAATTGTTTTAGATCAACCGAAAGCACAGGGGAAAGTGTAAGGAAAGACTCACATAGTTAGAGAGCATGGAATGAGCCAAAAAATAGATTTATTCTTCCAGAAGGAGAAAATGTTTAAGTGCCATTTCAAGAACTCTTGTTTGCAATATTAGGACCAGGGTGAGCAAGCTTGGAACAAATACTTTCTGTATCATGGTAAATAGACTGTTCATGTGATGGTAGAGAATGTCTAGCCATACTTTCTTTTTCCCTATAGTTAAAAAAAAAAAAAAGGAAATGCTAGAGTAATTGATGTAAAGTTACTATGTACTCTTACAGAAAATGCCTGCTGGTTTGTAACTGGACTGTGTCTCCACCTCATTCAAAGATAATTAATAAACGAAGAACATGCACTCAAAGACATTGCAAGAAAATAAGATCAGAGGAATTGGGAAAAAGAAATAGCAGCTAAAACACAGCAAGAAGATATAATTACATGTAGAAAAAATTTATATGATCAAATATTTTATCATGAATTTAGAAAAACTCGTGAAGCAATCACAGGACCCTTTTGAAGACATAAAAACTCAAGGAAGAGATAATAAGAAATAAAGGGGGATAAAATATAAAAAAAGAGAGAGAGAGAGAGGGAGAGAGTGGAAGAGGAAAGATCTTGTAGAAGTTGAGGTGAGATTTACATTTTCCTTTATGTGCAAGGAAAGAAATAACCGCTGAAAAGACACTAACGGACATAAAAGACAGTGATGAGACATGGATCCCAAATAAAAAGGAAAAAATTTCTAAAAATTCAAGATTAAAAAGAAAAAACAGAAAAATCATAGCTTTAGACCAAAATGAATGAAATATACATGATTGGAATTTTTTAACAAAGAAAATAGAACAGAATATTTAAAAATCTAATTCCAGAACATTTTCAGAAATAGAAGAAAATTGTATGAATGAAGAGAGGCATTGAATTTCAGAGGAAAAAACTTCTAGTAAAGTTACTAGAGAGAAGGAAGAGAGGAGGATGAAGAAGGAGACGTAGGAAATCAAGGGGGCGAGGAGGAAGCGGGGTAAAGAGTTTGCCCTCTCACTCTCTGGCTGTTTCTCTTTTGAATGTTGTTTTGGTCTTAGGAATTTCTATATAACTGGATATTTTCAAATTATGGGTATTACATAAGTTTCATTCAAGAAGAACACTGGTTTTCAAAATTTGAGGAACTATTGCATATCTAACCTGATTGATGGTCTGGATTTTCCTATTTTGTTACAGAAAATTGGGAACATTTTTGAATTACAAACGTCTTCAAACCCGCTTAAAGGATGCCATTCTACTAGACTATTATGTATCCGGATTTTTGTGGGCTAGAGGAATGGATTTTTCTATTATTCAATACTCAAAATTCATGACTTTACTAAATATGTTACTTCATAATCTCAAAAGTAAGTACCTTATATTTGCTCTTTTTTAAGAAAAGGAAACTTAGTCTCTATCTAAATTAAGGGTTTTTAAGTAGAAGTTCCTTATTTTTTTGTATTCTTTCATGGAAAAGTATGGGATTTTTTTTCTGATTATAGTAAGATATATGTCATATTATCACTGAGTTCTACGTGTAAAACCACGTGTAATATTTAACAAGGTATTAGGTATTACTAAGTTCTCTTAGTAATCAATTTGTCAAAGATAGGCTAATTCCACTTGAAAACTGTCTCAGTGCCATCCACCCTTCAAACATTTAGGGATTCTGTGATGTTCTTGCCATTTTTCTGTAAATATAAAACTACACTAAAATTAAATTTATGAGTAGGTATTAGTCTATCCCTGGAATGGAATACCATGCAGCTATAAAAAAGGAAAGAACAAGGATGCTTTCTATGTATTGTATGGGAGAATAAGTGTTATTATTGAGTAAAGCAAGGTGCCTTGGTTTATAAAAGAAACAAAAGAAGAAGTTGTATATTTTTATTTGTATATACACAAAGAAACACTGGAAGGATGCAGGAAAAAAACAATAATCCAAATTACTTATGAGGAGGATAGTGAGTGCTGGGCCTGTGGGCAACAGGGGTGGAGGAAGTCTTTTCACAACACAGCAGCACCTCTGCAGGTGATCACCTCCCTGCACTGACCACCTCCTTAAGTTGACCTCATTCTCACAGAACCAGACATCTGGTCTAGTCCCTTATGTTGACCACCTCCATATGTTGACCAGTCTGTTACAGTCTCGGCTTGTCAGCTTACAGAGGTTCCACTGTATTCCTTCGTATATGTATATTTTGAAACAGGAATATATCACCTATGCCAAAATTAAATTTTAAAGGAGACTGTATAACATCGATATTCCTAAGCTTTGTAACCTCTGAGCTGCATATCCATAAACCAGAAATAAAATAAAGTAAAAGTCTTCCTGGATCTCACATACCAAATCTGAGAAGTGGTTTCCATTTTTAACTTTTTCCGTAAGTTATAACTGACTCGAGAATATTTCCTCTCGGTGACGGTTTATGTTGTTGATATCAGTGCAAAAGTGAATTTCTATGACTTGAATAGGATCGATCCAGCTACTCATAAACCAGGAGAGAGTGAAAATACATCTGTAGAACTTTAACCAGAAAAGAAAGCAAGAGAGCCGGTTTCTCCTTCTGGCCAGAAAAGAAACCCCCACGCCCTCCAACCTTTAAACTTAACAAGGTTACAGTCATCATTAGGAAAGAATGAAATTTAAAGTCAGGTGTGCCAAGGAAGGAAGTAAAATTTGTCTTCACGTAAACTAAATGGTAGTGAGCGCTGCGGGCACAGTCATCACTCCCATTCAGCAACATCTGAATGGCAAGAGCCCTGAAGTGCGCACTGCGGGCTGGCTGCGGCGTGGACCATCTAGCGCCAGAGCTGAATGTCATGCTAACTGGGTTTCTGATCCGATTCTGGTCTCAAACTTGTGCCACGTTATCTACTGGGCATTCTGCAGTCAGTGCATCATCTAAAATCAAATTGGCTCAACCTAAAAGGTCACGGAGCAGAGAATGTGTAGACACTTAGCAGTATACGTCAGGGAGTCTAGTTACTATTCTAGGAATTGACTGAGGATAAGTTGCAACGTAGAGCATCGGGCTGGCTCTGGGGCCTTTATGCACCTCTGCGTGCCTTGATTGACGCCCCTGTGCATCACATGAATATTAGTAACTATAAAATACTTTTAGTTCCAAATTGTTTCCCCCAACAAATAGAAATTATAAATAACATGTAACATTTATGTAGGATGAACTCGTGCCAGCCACAGTGCCAAATATTTTACAAATATTTGCTGATTTAATTCACACACTGCCTTATGAAAGAAATAAATGTTTCCGAGGGGTTAAATAACTTTTTAGGGGTCAACCCTAGTGAGAGCCCATTTTCCTCTTAACTACTATATCAAAGGTGTCTGCCTTGAGGCTGAATTCTACAAAGCACGTGGAATGTACTGGTATATGTTATCTTTTCACGTCACCAGGGTTTCATATATGTTTCTTAATTGATCCTCACAGCAGCACTGTAATTTTGAAAATAGGTATTACAGCATTTTCATTTTATAGGTAAAGAAAATGAGACTCAGGTTGCCTGGCTAGTAAATGTCAGCTATGAGGTATCATCCTAAGTTTTCCAATTAATTATAATTCCAGTGTGTTCTTTCATTACTCTAAATTTTCAAGAATAAATTTCATTTCTAATAGCCTTTACTATTTAAGTGGTTTAATCTTTCATATTTTAATCACATCACTAAATGTGATTTTTGAAAGAGCAAATATTTCAGTTAGATAAATGAAATGATAACCTCCCTAATTTTTAAAGCAATTATCTATAAAAAGACATTAGACATAAAAAAAAAACCCCACCATTTTGGAGTCAGTTATTTTTCAGCATAAGGAAATAGTCATAGAAATGTATTTTTGTGTTTGATAAGTATAATTTCATCTAGAATTATAATCAATTGTCTAAGAATTATTTTTTTCTCTGCATCTCTAATTAATATCATTTTACTAGTAAAATGATTCAAATGTTTAATTCACTTATGAATTGCTTTTATCCAACAGATTTTTCATTTCTGAAGTTACTTCCATTATTTTCAAAAGAAGTTTATTGTGGAAAAAGAAATGTATAATGATAATTGAATTCCACTTAGAATGACATAGGAAAACCTAGTTATCTAGCAATAATTCAGGGTATCTGACATACATAAATGATGATCTGAAGAGAGGCTATGAAAAATGGACCAATTGTAATTCATTAAACCTGATTTTAATTGTTATATAGTTTTATGCTTCTTTCTAAATTCTCTAAGTAGGAAAGAATCTAGACTAAACAAATTACAAATTAATGTGTATGATATCTTCCTAACATTTTAATGTACTTTACTATCATTTTATTAGTAATCCTAGTGTTTGGGGTGCAGTAATTACATCCAAATGAGAAAGAGTAGCTGTGTAATCAGTCCAGAAGTGAGTGGCCCAGTGATCACATTATATTCTCAAAACTTTCCATCACCACCCGTGCCACCAAATCAACCCATTACAAACAAGAAGTAGAAACTTTACTGGTGGTTTCTACGAGAGAAAGATTTGGTTAGTGGAGTCCACATAGGGCAGCAAAATGCACTCCTGAACAGACCCACACCTGGGCCCCTAGCTGACATTCAGCTCTCCCAAGCCACCAGGCCAGTCTCATCTTCTCCATATCCAGGCTCTTTGGTCTTATGTCCACCCGCACATCGCTCGTCAGGGACAGCAAAGGCCATTATGCCGCTCCATTTACCTGACTCCTTCTTTCAGGGGAGGGGCAAGGATCGCATGTGTGGATTGTAAATAATATTTTGCCTTCCACAAATAACACAGAGCATAATAAAACCAAATAAGAGAAGAGGATGGAAGTTTTTATTTTTATTACTAAAAGTTACGTCTAAGGTTTCTGACAGTTGTCTACCACTTTATTCCCTGGACACATACCACAGAAGAGAGTTTTGGGTGTTTCCATTTGCTCATAGCTTTGCAGCTGAAAGAGCGTAGACCTGGAATCACCAAGTCGCTTGCCACTGTGCTTTTATCCTGCTCTCACCAGCACCACTGGCCATACATTTGAGAAACAGCTTACATCAGGTAGAAGTCTGTAGCTGTGGAAAAGAATAAAGTATCCTGATGTTTTACATAAACATCCATAGTTCTGGCTTTTAATGAAAACTTTCAGACCCATATTTCCACTTGGTGATAATTGGCTGAAGCCTACTGTTGATTGACACCCCCCCCACTCCTTTACATTTCCAGCTCTGAGTTCAGCCAACCTATTTGCCATTTACATTTACGCTTTTATTATAAGATTATTTTTTTAAAAAACCTCCTTTTAATTTTAAAGTGATCTTTACATAGATTTTGAGTTTTATATATATTTTTTGCATCTTAAAGTAGAAACAAACTCTGCAGACGATTGTGTGGCATTACACTGATTTCAGTTGTTAGATTTATCAACTTGCTATTCTTTTATACAAAATAATTTGTTAAGAAGAAGAAACAAGTAGATTTTAAACATTTATTTCCACCAATCCAAACAAGGTAAATTTGAGCACAGTAAGGACATCTTGGATTATCTTGTTCTGAAAACGTGTATCAAAATAACACTTAAGATTTCCCTGGATTTTTTTTTTTTTTTTCAGCACTACACATGTCCTTGGAGGATAGCATCAAATGGCTTGGAGAAGTTATGGCTGAACTCGGACCGAATCATTTGCAAAAATGTGATGACTGGAATATCTTTGATATAAAACAAGCCAATGCTATTATTGATTACTTAAAAATCAGGTACGAATTCTTTCAGTAGCATTTGTTTTTCATTTTGTATACTTGGGAAAAGGTCTATTAAATAAAAAGTAATTCCCTTTTTAATAAATCCACATGTTGACAGAATTTATGTCAGGATTAACCTAACCCAATATTAGACAATTAAATCTTCTTTGAATTAGATATTCAGATATTTTATCCATTAAGTAAAAGTCAAGATATTGGACATTTGAGCTAAATTTGCATTCTTAAAAAAGTTTTGTGTTTGGTAGGTATAATTTCATCCAGAATGATACAAAGTTATCCAAGAATTGCTTTTTTCTCTGTATCTTCCATTATTAAAGGACTGATCCAGATTAGCCAGGTTAAGATACAATAAACTCTTTATTTTAGGTAGTAGTTGATCTTTTCAGTTACCTAATTTTACATTTTAAGAGGCAATGTTGACTTCCATTTAAATGTTTTTTTTTAAATACTTTGTTTTAGAAACTGAAGAAATTTATGAACATACTTCCTCAAATTTATTATGTGTCCTGAAATGTTTTGTAGTATTGACCAATTAAACTCATTAAGCCTTTTCTTTGTGCTAAAAAATGCTGGTAGATGGAGGGGAAGTATTTTTATGGAAGTGATTCTTCACTGCTGAACTTAAGAAATCTGTCCGTTTACATAATCTGTTACAAAGTCTGCAACAGAGTCGTGTATCTCTCCAAAGGGACATTTTTAGAGGTTGCAAATATTACAACAAGAGGAGGTAAAACTCTTTGGCCTGAATGAAAGCTTCTGCAGAGTAGCTTTACTCCTCCTATGTTATATATTTGAGTGTCTTTCGCTTTTAAAATTTTAAATTCTAAAATAAAGAGCGCTGAATGACGTCCTAGACATGCTCATGATTTTCTCGGCAAGGATCCCAGTCACAGTCTGGAAGCTTTTTAAATATTAGTGTGTTTAATATGATAAAGTTTATATACTGGTTTCTGGCATGAATTAATAATGGCATACGATATAATGTGTTTTTTACATAATAACATTTGATATAATGCGATTTCTTAATACTAAAACATTCCTTGTAATGAATGTCTCTCAATAAAACCACAATCATTTCATATCCATTAGAGTAAGGCAAGGTTCTTGGGGAGGGGGGAGGGAGAAATGGAAGTCCAGGCTTGGCAGAATACCTGGTCTTTCTTTCTTTCTTTTTTATTTTTTAACTGAAAATAAATGTATTTGGGAAAGTTTAAAAGAACTTAGAAGATCAAAAATAACCACAAAATAAGGCAGCTCCCTACCTGGTCTTTCTTTTCATCAGAGTTTGAGAGACACTGGGCAAGAGTAATTCTACTTTGCGTGTTCGTATTAATTACCATTCTTCTTTCTCTTCCCTCCCTACATAAACATGCCGGGTTTCTCTTACAGAGCACATTTAGCTGTGCTCCAAGCCCACAAGGTTTATAATGCACAAGGAGACTGACAGCTAACCATGGCCACAAAGCCCAGGCAGGTGCTGTAAGGAACATTCTAGAAGATAAAGGATGGCAGCTCTTCTCCCTTTCATCTCAGCTCTTTGGGGAAATGTTCATTGACGTATTTGTTGACCCTTTCTTTGAGAAAATGGTTAACTTGGGGGGGATGTCAGTGACGTCAGGGTTAGTCACCCTTAGATCCTAACCAGAGTAACTTCACACATCAAAAATCCCGCATCTTCCTTTGCTGAAAGCAATCAAAATAGTTATATTTAAGAGATTAGTCAAATAAAGTAAATCAGAACTATTTCAGATGCTGTTAAATTTTCGCTCAAAGAAATTATGTATTTAAAATGTCCCTATTATGGAAAAATACAGTATCAGTTAGCAGGATATCTGGAGTTGATACTGAAGTCGTGTAAAGGAAAGTGTGCTTTTCCCCTCATAAGTCCACATGTGGAAGTTCAATGGCAATTAAATCATGCAACATTTTTCATTTTGATGACTACAAAGCAGTTTTATAAATATGAAGGTAACTCAATAATCAAATGTATAAACGTGTTTCAATTTAACCTGGTATTAAGTTTACTCAACCACCGAAAAGCCCTAGTCAGTTTAAGGAGAACAGTTTTTGGAACCTGACCCGTAGCACATGAAACTTAACTGGCAATAAAATTGAAATTCCACTTGATGCTTTTAATATAGTCTGTCATGTGTCTGTGATTTGATAACACTAATGCCAAAATTCCTCCCCCACATTACTATAAGCACTGGCAAATCTGCTTACATGATGTATACATTTGTATATATTATATATTGTATTCAAATATAAATACTACTGCAGCTTTTTAATCTAAAACATCATTTTCATATATATCTGGTCCTACTACACTTATGTCATTGTGGATTCTCCCTAGTCCCTGGGAATTAGGTGACAGTAATATGTGCAGGCATGTACCCAGTATAAGAAAATCAGCCCTTCCTCTCTGGGCACCACAGGCTATGTTCCACTTCCTGGCATGGAGCCAGACGTCTTGACCCATTCCATCTTCCTTCAATTTTGAACTAAGACTAAATGTTTGACAAAATACTCTAGGAGCTTGAGTCAGCCAGAAGTCTAAAGGAAGAGGGACACAATGCACTCTTGCCACTGAAGTGTCACTTTGTTCCTGTGCAAGACCATGTGTAATACTGGAGGGTCGGGCAGGGAAGGAGTCAGTGTCTCCAGACACGCTCTCAACCACCGCATCCAAGTCGGGCATTTTATTTTCATTGTAAGAAGTGAATTTCCCTCTTGGCATGGTACAATCTAATTCCTGTAGGCAATGAAAAGAATCAGACTGAAAGATTGTGAAAGTGCAGGAAGGAAGATTTATGAATTAAGTTCTTTGTGTGACATGAGACAGAGGGAAATGTTACGTTCGTTCACTGAGAGGAAGCCAAGCTATTTCCAAAACAGTCTATAGCCTAAATTTTCTACTCAAAAGTAATTATTTCTACTCAAATTTAATTGCTGCCAGAGAAATATTTTTGACCTTAAAGCTTTCTCTAGGTGTAAGGGAGGGAGAGTTTGAATTTATTTGGCTTCGTGGAATTATCAGACTTCACTAATTTTTGATATATTTTTCTAGCCAACAAATCAAAGTAATGTCAAAAGCTGAGTTACTTTTCTGAATGTTGATGAGTAATTTGAATGTACAATGGTTTTCTTCCCTCCGAAAACTAATACCGTGACTGAGTTTGCACACCCATCACTTTTTAATGGATTGTGTTAGTAGTGAGATCAACTGCTAATATAACTCAGAGAGACCCAGCTGCCTGAGGATTTCTTCATTGATTTCAAATGAATTGAAACTTTGATCCATTACAACATTCAGGAGAAGCCATTATTATACATGCTCTGTAGCTACATTTTGCAAATGTTAATTTCTCAGTTATATTAAAATCAATTTTCTTAAATAGCAAAAGGCACCAGAGTGAAAGAGAAACCACTAAGACAATTTTTTTGTTCTTGGGCATTTTGCTGTATTATGAGTCTATTAATTTTCCCAAGCAGCAGGAAGAGAATTGGAAAAATTCAAATATTAGCACAAACAGGATATTAGAATTCAGTCCTTCAGTAAAATTTTAACTCTTAATAATACACTGCTCTTTCAACTTACTAGAAAGATGTGTTTTAAGGACCTCTTATCCTTTGGCTCTTTTTTGTTTTTATATACTGACCACCTAGTCTTTCCAGTAAAAACTGAAGAAATGATCTTTCTTTAGTTAAATTTCCTCCCTTTTGGTTGGGACCAAAGATTCTGCAGGAAGTCAGACATCTTCTAAATGGATTTCGGTTCATGTCGCATCATTTCTCAGGTGTTATCAGAGATTAATTTAATCTTGACACAGTTTGAGGATGTGAGAAGAAGTAATTGATACGGAAGTAGATTACAGAATTCAGAGCTATTCAGAACAGGGGAAATTGACTCTCGTTTGGAGCAAAATATAAAAAATAACACGAAGCTGGATGTTATTCAAGAACGGGGCATCATTTGGTTTTAAGCTAAGAAAGGTCAACCCAAAATTTAATTGCTCCCTTATTCCAAACTTATCCACTCATCACGAATGGGTTTACAGATATTATTCTAGATATTGTGTTATATTGTCAATGTCTCAAAAAAGAAAACTTTGGTTTCTTGGTATTTCTGGACAATTTCTTTTGTAATGAAGGACGTGGCCAACTCTATAGTAGTGTTTCATATCATTAGCTTGTTCAATGTGATCTTTTCTTTATAAATGATTTTACGTATTTTCTTTTTTTTCCTGAAATAAACATATCAGAGTTGCATGTTATTTTGTATTTCAGCTTATTTCAACACTACAAGCTATATGAGTTTCTGTTCTACTCTGCCAGGGAAGAAATTGTGATAGGAGCTGAGGTAAGTAATTTATCTAGATGAAACCAATTAAGCTGAATCACTTAATGCATGCTGATCAGCGTCTGGACCTTTAACTGCTTAAAGCAACTTCTTGTCAAGATTATTCAAGTGTTAATATAACCAACTAGTAGTTTGCAAAAAGAATAATTATAGAAAGTAATCTTTTGGATTAAGAAAATAAGCTGTCTTTGGCATTAAAAGCATTATTAATCATGTATACTCTATGTATTTATGGATTATTTGACAAAACTTGACTGGATAGGGTATGTATATCCTTGTACAAATAAAATCAGAAAAAAATGAGATAAATTAACTCAGTGAAATCTCTTCTAATTTTATATTTATTTTTATTCTCATTGTTTAAGGCCTAATTCAAATCCCACTTCCTCCATCAAGCAAATTTACCTTAATTGAATCATTATCTCCAAAAAAAAAAGGCTTGTCACAGTCACAATCTATGACTTAATTCCAATTGATCACTTATTGCTGAATTTGGGGCCTTGTTACACCAAAACATGTAAAAATATGTAGTGTTATATGGTTTTCCAGTTTTTTCCTGTGAGTTGATATAGTCAACACAACAATAATTTCTTGAAGGCCAGGACCATCTGCTGTTTTTCTCTTGATGTTTCTATACTATGTATAGTATAATGCAGGACCCAGTAGCCCCTCAGTTAATACTACATAAGTGAGTCAGCACAGTTTTAGAGCAGTTGTCTTAAAATAAATGGCCCCACCTGGAAAAGTGTTTGTAATTCTGAGAAATGAATGCTGAGTAGGAAAACACTTTATTGCACAGATGCAATAAAAAGTACCCCTGTAGTACTCTCCATTACTTTAGGAAGCTTCCTTGCCTCCCAAAGTATCTGGGACATGAGTGGCCATGATCAGAAAGAAACAGTGGATAAGGGGATATTCTCATTATCTTTATCATTTTTCCTGATACAAGAACCAGATAACCCATGTCAGCTATTCTGTCCTCCTGAGTGGATGACCTTTGGGAATTTATAAATTGGTTCATACACACCTCAGTCACCGCAGCCCACGCTCTATTTGGGTACTGGTGCTAAGGCCAGTTTCAGAAAATACAGTGCCAAGAAACAGGGTCCCTTTGTGCTTTTCACTTTCCTTCCAATCTCTTCAGACTGTAGCTTAAATTAGGTGTCCCTTGACAAAATTTTACTGAAAACGTTTCCGTTTCAGAATTCTGTCATATCATGGGACAGCACTGCAATAATTATCTGTTTAGAATATAACCCTGTCTCATCCATTCAGAAGAACTTTCAGGAAATGATAGTGGCTTCCACAGCAGTATAAGTAGGTACTTAAAGTCATCCAAAAAAACTTTTCAGAAGGAACTCCCTTTTTAATTACACAGCGTCCCTTTCTTCTATATTGTAAAGATATATTTAGATGACATTTATGCATAGGGAAAGACACAGTGGAGAAAGTAGACCAGGAATGGCTCCTTTATTTTCCATTGTCTTTTGTATTTCCCTCAAGCTGACCAGTGCTGTAAATAAATACGGAAAGGATATTGGGTCTTCAAGGATTAGGCCACTCATGGAATTTTAAAGCATCAAGAAAAGCAAAGTTTTATGCTACAACACTTTATGGCAATTACAATTATCTGATCATCCTTGATACAAATATCTGTTGTTTTTTTTTTTTTAATACACAACCTTTCATGGATAAGGCAGAGGTCTGCTCTGCTAATGTGATTATTCATGCTTATCTCAGTGCCCTGGGACCAAAAAAAAAAGCCACATGACAACCACATGGATGTTTCAGATATAACCGTCAGGCATTCAAGTTAGATAATACCGACAAAATTTAGTTCCTTTCTTAATTGTGGAATAAGTTTAAGGAAAATAAAACACAAATCCCCTCTATTCATAGAAGTATCCAGTTTATAAATGAATAAATAATAATGAAATAGACTATCACCATTTGTCAACCCTTAATGAAATTAATAGATCTAGGTAGTAATCCTCAGTTGCTGCTGACGTCACAAAAAGGAAGAAAATCAGACATCACTTGCTTCCTAACAAAATTAGACAAAACCACATGTAAATTGCTCTTGCAATTTTAACTGGTTAATATTCTGGTCAGTCTTCTAACATTAACTACCTATTTACTGGAAATGCAGAAAATAGAGGAATATGTAAGGATATCATAGGAGCTGAGCACAGTGGCTCATACCTGTAATCCCAGCACTCTGGGAGCCCTAGACAAGAGATCACAGGAGTTTGAGACTAGCCTGAGCAAGAGACCCCCATGCCTATAATCCTAGCTACTCAAGAGGTTGAGGCAGGAGTATCACATGAGTTTGAAGTTGTGAGCTACGATGACACCGTGGCACTCTCCCCAGGGCAACAGAATGAGATTATGTCGCAAGATGTAGTAAGAAAACTAAGCTATGGGAGAATCTGTGGAATAGAAGATGTAGAATCTTTAACAAATAAAGTACAAATAAAAAAAATAGATAAATGGTGAATTTATAAATTAAAAATGACTTAAATCAAATTGCAGCATAGAGATGTTATTTGAATCCTCCTTCAGATTAGATAGCAAATAGACCAAAGCACAAACACAAAATAGTTACAAAATAATCAGGGGCATTTGAGCATTGTTTGTTTATTTTGATGAAGGATACATACTAATTCCTAGAATCTGTGATGATGTTACCTTACATGGCAAAAGGGACTTTGCAGGTTTGATTAAGTTAATGAATTTGAGATGGGGAGCTTATTCCAGATTACCTATGTGGGCTCAATGTAACCATAAGCTTCCTTATGAGAGAAAGAGGAAGGCCTTTTTCCTGTTGTTCTTCTAAATATTCAGTTGATTATTACTGTAAATTTTCTTTAAATATAAAAGTTAGAATTAAACTCATACATATGTGAGTTTTTAGCATATGTTAGTAAAATGACATTTAAAATCTGTTAGGATAATTAACTACCTGGTAAAAGAAGTTAGATTTCTATCTTATACAAAACTTAAAAATGAGTCCAGTTTATTAAAGACATCTATTTTCCATAATGACAGACATGTCCTATAATGGCAAACTATAATTTGGTCGACACTTCCACTTAGAACAATGAAAAAAGCTGGGAAAAAATTTTTTTAATATATAAGTGTTTGAGAAACATGAATCCTATGTATTCGATTTTGATGTGAGGACAATTAATGACAGTTAATGACATGGTGGGGATGGGGAAAGAGGAGACCAGAAAGAGAGAAAAGGAGGGAGAGGGGTGAGGGAGAGGAAGAGCAAAAAAAAAAAAAAAAAAGATGTGTTTGAAAGCTCAGCTAGCAAATCTCAAAAACATTAGCAGAAGCTCCAAGAAGTGAGCCCACCATTTGGAAAAGCTTTCTACCTATGGATGCTGATCTCAGTTTGGGAAAGGTGGCTGAAAGAGTTGGGAGTTAGGAAGTGAAGTGTTGGTAGATTCATGGAGCTAGGAGAACAAAAAATGAAGGGAGAAAAGAATATAATAAATTCCACAAGTTGCATTTTGGAACTCCAAAGGACCACATTTGAGGAGATCAGCCCTCACATGGAATGAAATTCAGTCTCAAATTATCTCAGTATCTGGTGGATTTAGGTTATCTGTGTGCAGTGTTATTAACCTCTCTAAAATAAAACCATACCTGTACATTGGTTATGGAACCAATATCTGTTCCATAAAAAATTTACCAGGTACACAGAAATAAAAATTTACCACAGGTGCTCCAGATGATGGAGTCATTAGTCATGTACTTTAAAATAATTATGCTTAAAAAATGAGAAATATTCCTGAAAATAAATTAGAAGGTACTGCAAACTAATACAACCTTTTTGGAAGGAAGTATGGAGAACCCTCAAGAAACTCAAGCTAGATCTCCCATTTGATCCTGCAATCCCATTACTGGGCATCGACCCAGAAGGAAGAAAAAATCCTTTTACCATAAGGACACTTGCACTAGACTGTTTATCACAGCTCAATTTACAATCACCAAAATGTGGAAACAGCCTAAATGCCCACCAACCCAGGAATGGGTTAACAAGCTGTAGTATATGTATACCATGGAATACTATTCAGCCATTAAAAAAGTGGAGACTTTACAACCTTTGTACGAACCTAGATGGAAGTGGAACACATTATTCTTAGCAAAGCATCACAAGAATGGAGAAACAAGAATCCTATGTACTCAATTCTGATATGAGGACAATTAATGATCTAGCACATGGTGGGGGGGCATATAGGGTGAGCAGAGAGAGGGAAGGAGGGAAGAGGTGGAGGGTCACAGGGGTGATTCACCTTTTGGAGGCAGAACACTAAGAGGGTCTTTATCTAACACAAGCAATCTATGTAACTGGGTTCTTTGTACCCTCAATGAATTCCCAACCAAAAAAAAAAAAAAAAAAAAAAAGAAGAAGAAGAAGAAGATATGAACTTTAGCAGATAACTACAAACTCTTAAAAATACTAAATGGAAATTCTGGAATTTTAGCAAATACAATAATGAAGCTAAGAACCAAATGAATGTGTTTAACAACAGTTTGGTCATGGTTGAAAAGAAAAATTGGTGAACTGGAAGTTAAGTCAAACGAAAAACCTAAAATAAAGCATGGGTAGGCAAAAGGATGGTAAACACTGGAAAAATGAGAGAAAATATGGAGATAGTGAAAATAAGACGTAGAGATAACAAAAGTGAATTCCAGAATGAGAAGTTAGAAACAGGCCGGGCACGGTGGCTCACGTGTGTAATCCCAGCACTCTGGAAGGCTGAGGCAGTTGGATTGCTTGAGCACACAGGTTTGAGACCAGCCTGAGCAAGAGTGAGACCCCTGTCTCTAAAAATAGCTGGGCATTATGGAGGATGCCTGTAGACCCAGGTACTTGGAAGGTTGAGGCAAGAGAATAGCTTCAGCCCAAGAGTTTGAGGTTGCTGTGAGCTGTGACTCTATGGCACTCTACCCAGAGGGACAGAGTGAGACTTTGTTGCAAAAAAAAA